GTCTTGCGTCGATCTGTAACCTCACTGCAACATCCCTTTACCCCATATGAATAGCATGGTTCTTGACAGTCCCCCCCCCCCCCCCGCCCCAGTGTGTGTGTGTGTGTGTGTGTGTGTGTGTGAGAGAGAGAGAGAGAGAGAGAGAGAGAGAGAGAGAGATACAGAGCTAAAACTCAAGGCCTTGAACTCTTGATCTTAGCCTTAGCCACGCAAGGCTCGCACTCTCCACTCTAGCTTCAGTTTCTTACTAGATACGTGAAGATAAGAGTCTCTTGGATTTGTCTGCCAAGACCAGCTCCAAACCTTGATCCTTAAATCTCAGGCCCCTGTGCAGCTAGGATTACAGGTGTGAACCACTGGTGCCCAGCTTGAATCTCTTTTGAGCTGGTTTTAACAACTGTCTTGACTCTTCAACTAGCTAATGAGTTAGTTAAACCTTTAACACACTGTCCTAGTTTCTCAGGAATGTCAGAACACATTAGTATTCCCAAAACTTTAACAACAGACATTTACTTGCTCATAGCTCCAGAGGTCAGAGTCTGAAGTCAAAGAATCAGCCATCCTGGTTTCCACGGAAGGTGGAGGAGGAACGGTTCCTTCCACAACACTCCCTCATGATCACCGACAGACCTCCTTCCCATCCTCCTGGGGAACACCAACCACTGGGCTTAGGGCCCTTGACCTTCAAAGGTTTCTATCTAAAAGCCCTTGAGTTAATCACATCCATCAAGGTCCATTTCCAAATTAGGCGCTACTCACAGGCTCCGAGCACTGAGAACAGTGCCCTTTTGCGGGAGACACTGATTCACGCACGCACGCACGTTCCTTTCACCTCTGTGTGGAAGCCCTGCTTCTTACTGCTGTTTAAGCTCTTTTTTCTTTCCTATCAGTTATGAAATCTGTGGGGACTGGGGACATGGGTTTGTGGGAAACGTGAAGTGCTAAAATTAGGAAGATGACCTTTGGAGGAGGGGTTGTCGTGGCACTAGAATGGGGCACGCATGGGAAGGTGTCGTGGTGCCCTGGAGAGGTTTTCTTGGTGTGATGGGCCCAGCAGCACGCAGCGTCCTGGGTGCTCCACATCCAGTCCAGGGCATGTGCTGTCCATCTGGAGCAAAACGCTGCGGCCTAGGACAGGGTTTGGGTCTTTGATATGGAAACAGGATAGGATTCGTTCTTCTTTCAGAGTTCTCAACCCTTTCCTTCCTGGTCTCAGAGGTGGCAGTGGAAGTTGGTTGGTGGACAGGCGTCCAGTGGAGTCTGTGCTGGGTAGTGCATGATTATAGGGCATGTAGACCCCACGCTTCCTGTGTGTCACCTTACAGTCTCCTGGACCTCTGTAGGTACAGGGCTAACTGGGAGCATTCCAGAAGTCCTAATCCTAGGAGGGGCGCCATGTTCCTCTGGCCTGGACTTGGAGGATGACAATCAAGCCTCAGTCCTTCTGGCAAGAGTGAGGATAGTGGCCTACTACACAGCCAGCCATGGAGTCCGGAATTCAGTCTCCTGGAGAAAGGTGACAGTACATACTAGGCTTGTTGTAAGTTGAGGAGAGGGGGTTTGTACCAGACTTCTCTCTTAAGGGCCCAGGATTACATACTGCAGATTGCTGAGGGGCAGCAGGGCAGACACACAGGGAACCGTGGGCCTTCCTTCAGAGGCAGGGGTCCTCACTGGAGGAGACTTCTTCAGTCTGTACCTGACCCCACGCTTCCTGAGCCCTGGAGGTGGTTCCTCAGTAAAGGACAGGACTCTCCACTGCACCGCTCCACACGCACACGGATGCCCTGAACCTCCTCAAAGCTGATCAGTCACCTTCCTGTACCATCCACGCCTACCTGCTGTGCTAGCCCAAGCCTGGGGTATCCTGAGCCCCAACTCCTCTCGGGGTGTCTCCCACATGGGGTCACGTCTCTGTGTGTCCTCTGGCCCCAGCTCCCGCCTGGCTCTCAGGTCCACTGGTGGAGCCACCAACCACTGCTGTCACTGTGCGGGGACAGTCCATGGCATCCACAGTTTTGAGCCCCTTGTGGCAACACAGCTTCATCTACAAATCCTGACATTTGGCATCAGAAGTACCACATGATATGAATTTTTTTTCTTGTCTTTCTCTTTTGGTACTGGGGATTGAACTCGGCAAGCGCTTTGCCACTGAGCTACATCCCAGCCCATGATACCAACTTTTTTTTTTTGCCAGTCCTGGGGTTTGAACTCACGGCCTGGGCGTTGTCCCTGAACTGCTTTTGCTTGAGGCCAGCACTCTACTAGGTGAGCCACAGCGCCACTTCTGGCCTTTTCTGTTTTTGTGCATGCGAGGCAAGCTCTACACCAAGCCACATCCCCAGCCCTGAAGCTCAAGATTTTCGAGCAGACCCCGAAGCCTCTGGGTGTCTGAGTGGCCTGTCTCCGGCTGCAGGCCCAGGACTGCGAGTTGGCCCGCACTGGCTGCAGTCAGCTGCATCCTGCTATCCGCTGGGCTGCCCAGTGTCCTGGGCCACAGAACCAGCCTTGCCCTGCCTACCTTGAGGCGAGGGCCCCTGAGGGTGCCGGCCCAGGCTGTGAGGGGAGTGCTGGGAGCCGGCTGCGCAGAGCCTGGGGGACACCGGCGGGGGGGTGGGGGGTGGGGGGGTGGTCAGGAGGGACACCGGCGGGGGTGGGGGGGGCACCGGCGGGCGGGGGGACACCGGCGGGGGTCAGAGGGGGACACCGGCGGGGGTCGGGGGGGGGACACCGGCGGGGGTCGGGGGGGACACCGGCGGGGGTCAGAGGGGGACACCGGCGGGGGTCGGGGGGGGGGGGGACACCGGCGGGGGTCGGGGTGGGGGGACACCGGCGGGGGTCGGGGGGGGACACGGCGGGGGTCGGGGGGGGGGGACACCGGCGGGGGTCGGGGGGGGACACCGGCGGGGGGTCGGGGGGGGGACACCGGCGGGGGTCGGGGGGGGGGACACCGGCGGGGGTCGGGGGGGGGGACACCGGCGGGGGTCGGGACACCGGCGGGGGTCGGGGGGGGGGACACCGGCGGGGGTCGGGACACCGGCGGGGGTCGAGGGGGACACCGGCGGGCGGGGGGACACCGGCGGGGGTCGGGGGGGACACCGGCGGGCGGGGGGACACCGGCGGGGGTCGGGGGGGACACCGGCGGGGGTCGGGGGGGGACACCGGCGGGGGTCGGGGGGGGCACCGGCGGGGGTCGGGGGGGGGACACCGGCGGGGGTCGGGGGGGGGGACACCGGCGGGGGTCGAGGGGGACACCGGCGGGGGGGGGGGGACACCGGCGGGGGTCGGGGGGGGGACACCGGCGGGGGTCGGGGGGGCACCGGCGGGGGTCGGGGGGGGGGACACCGGCGGGGGTCGGGGGGGGACACCGGCGGGGGTCGGGGGGGGACACCGGCGGGGGGTCGGGGGGGGGGACACCGGCGGGGGTCGGGGGGGGGGGACACCGGCGGGGGTCGGGGGGGACACCGGCGGGGGTCGGGGGGGGACACCGGCGGGGGTCGGGGGGGGGGACACCGGCGGGGGTCGGGGGGGACACCGGCGGGGGTCGGGGGGGACACCGGCGGGGGTCAGAGGGGGACACCGGCGGGGGTCGGGGGGGGGGACACCGGCGGGGGGTCTGGGGGGGGACACCGGCGGGGGTCGGGGGGGACACCGGCGGGGGGGGGGACACCGGCGGGGGTCGGGGGGGGACACCGGCGGGGGTCGGGGGGGGGGACACCGGCGGGGGTCGGGGGGGGGACACCGGCGGGGGTCGGGGGGGCACCGGCGGGGGTCGGGGGGGCACCGGCGGGCGGGGAGACACCGGCGGGCGAGGGGACACCGGCGGGGGTCAGAGGGGGGCACCGGCGGGGGGTGGGGGGTGGGGGGGGGTGGTCAGGAGGGACACCGGCGGGCGGGGGGGACACCGGCGGGCGGGGGGGACACCGGCGGGCGGGGGGGCACCGGCGGGCGGGGAGACACCGGCGGGCGGGGGGGACACCGGCGGGCGGGGGGACACCGGCGGGCGGGGGGGACACCGGCGGGCGGGGGGGACACCGGCGGGGGGTCGGGGGGGGCACCGGCGGGCGGGGGAGACACCGGCGGGCGGGGGGGGCACCGGCGGGGGTCGGGGGGGGCACCGGCGGGCGGGGGGGACACCGGCGGGGGTCGGGGGGGGCACCGGCGGGCGGGGGGGACACCGGCGGGCGGGGGGACACCGGCGGGGGTCGGGGGGGGCACCGGCGGGCGGGGGGGACACCGGCGTGGGGTCGGGGGGGCACCGGCGGGGGTCGGGGGAGACACCGGCGGGCGGGGGGGACACCGGCGGGGGTCGGGGGAGACACCGGCGGGCGGGGGGGCACCGGCGGGCCGGGGGGGGCACCGGCGGGCGGGGGGGCACCGGCGGGCGGGGGGGGGCACCGGCGGGCGGGGGGCACCGGCGGGCGGGGGGACACCGGCGGCCGGGCCGAGGCTGTCCGTCTCCGGGTCCTCCGCACACGGGGCGCCTGCATTGGCTTGGAGCTGCTCCGTTCCGGCCGGGTCGGCGGCCACGCGGGGCTCGGCCTAGGCGGCCAGGCCTTCCAGCAAGCGCCGGCCCTGGCAACCCCAGAGCCACACGTGAGACTCACCGGCGCCCGCCGGTCCTGACTGCTTCGGCTGCGGCCCCGCTGCGGAGCGGGGTCGGAAGGCCGCGGCCGCCCGGCTCTCCCGAGCGCGCCCTTCCGGAGCTACCCGTCGGTGACCGCCAGGGGGCGGTGCGGGGCGCGGACGCGGCTCGGGTCCCCGCCCGCCGCCCAGTCCCCGCCCGCCGCCCAGTCCCCGCCCGCCGCCCAGTCCCCGCCCGCCCCCAGTCCCCGCCCACCACCCAGTCCCCGCCCCCCGCCAGTCCCCCGCCCACCACCCAGTCCCGGCCCCCCGCCAATCCCCCGCCCGCCGCCAGTCCCCCGCCCACCCTCCCGCCCAGTCCCCGCCCACCGCCCAGTCGGGGGAGGGGGGGAGAGGAGCCCGCGAGCCGAGCGCGCATGCGCACCGCGCACCCCTCCCGCAGGGCCTGCTGGGCGCCGGGACGCCTGCGGCGGATCCTCGGAGCGCGGCGGGGACATGTGGCGGCCGGTGAGGATCCCCGCGCCTCAGATCCCGCTCCAGACCCTGACCCGCACGCCACGAAGCCCAGGCTCCGGGCCCGACCCCCGCCCCGCGCGCCGCGCGGCCCCCCACGCGCTCCCCGAGCCCCGCCCGGCCCCGCGCCCGGCCCAGCGCCCTCGGACCTGCGGCTCTGGCGGCCGCAGCCCAGACCCCCGCGTCGACCAGGCCCCGCCGGGCCCGGCGCCTCCCGTCCGCGTGAACCTGCCGGGCCCTGTGGGCGCGCCGCGCGGCCCCCACCGCCGTCCCCGTCCTCCCCCCGTCCCCGTCCTCCCCCCCGTCCCCGTCCTCCCCCCGTCTCCCGTCCTCCCCCCGTCCCCGTCCTCCCCCCCCGTCCCCGTCTCCTCCCCCCCCCGCCGTCCCCGTCCTCCCCCCCGCCGTCCCCGTCCTCCCCCCCGTCCTCCCCCCGTCCCCGTCCTCCCCCCCGCCGTCCCCGTCCTCCCCCCCCCCCGCCGTCCCCGTCCTCCCCCCCCCGCCGTCCCCGTCCTCCCCCCCGCGTCCTCCCCCCCCCCCCGCCGTCCCCGTCCTCCCCCCCGTCCTCCCCCCGTCCCCGTCCTCCACCCCCCGTCCCCGTCCTCCCCACCCGCCCCGTCCTCCCCCCCCCGTCCTCCCCCCCGTCCCCGTCCTCCCCCCCCGTCCTCCCCCCCCCCGTCCTCGTCCTCCCCCCCGTCCCCGTCCTCCCCCCGTCCCCGTCCTCCCCCCCGCCGTCCCCGTCCTTCCCCCCCGCCGTCCCCGTCCTCCCCCCCGTCCTCCCCCCGTCCTTCCCCCCCCCCGCCATCCCCCCTGTCCTCCCCCGTCCCCGTCCTCCCCCCGTCCCCGTCCTCCCCCCCCGTCCCCGTCCTCCCCCCCCCCCCCCCCCCCCCGCCGTCCCCGTCCTCCCCCCCCATCCCCGGGCTCACTGACCCCCGTTCTCCCGTCCCCGTCCCCCTCCTCCATCTCCGGGCCTCCCCCCCCATCTCCGGGCTCCCCCCCCCCCCCGTCCGGGTCTCCCCCCCCTCCGCGTTTCCCCCCATCTCCGGACCCCCCCCCCACGCCCCCCAGCCAGCCCGGCCCCGCGGTCTGCACACTGACCGCCGTGGAATCCGGTTGGCGGTGGCGGCGCCTGAGCGCTTTGCGGGGAGCCGGGCAGAGCCCTGGGGGGCGGCCGCCCGCACACCCGAGCGGCTGGATCCGGGGTCTCCGGCAGGCCGGCACCGGCGGGTGGGCCGGAGCATTTGCTCCAGGGGAAAAGGCTGGTGTTGGGACAAGGTCCTGGGCAGACAGGTGGAGGTGAGCTGCTGGCGGTGGTGCGCGACGGCAGGGGCCCTGGCGCGGGGTCATGAGGTGATGGAGCAGGGCTTGGATACCTCTGGGGAGCTGTCAGCATCACGCCTTGTCCCCTTGGCATTTTGTCTGAGGCCAGACTGCCACCTCTCACTTGGCTCTGGCCTGTGGTGGGTTTGGCAAAGACCCTGGCTTTGACCGGGTTTCGGTTCATCCCATGTGTGCCCACCGGTTGTCAGGAGTACTTTCTGAGTACCTGTGTGTGAACTCCAGCAGAGGTGATTTCCAGGTGGCTCCTGACTACAGTCTAGCCAGGAGTCACCCACCACTGTCCGCCATTGTCCTCGCAGTCTGAGATGAGGACCGTGGGAGAGTACCAGAGCCGGCACCTGTTGGGGTGAATGGTGGGGATAGAGAGCATCGCACACAGCACAGCACCTGAGATTCTGTTGGAAGAGTCTGGGTCCTCTACGCTGGTGGGGAGTGACAGGCATCCTGCTGCGGAGTCCTCAGAAACCAGGGGGGTGAATGGGCCCAGCAGAGAAGCACTGCCTTCCCCGGACACTGGGGATGGGCTAGGGCTGTGTGCTTCAGCCTAGGCTCCCCAGCCGCGCTCTGCCAGAAGCGTCACCAGGGGCTGGGGAACACCCAGAAGCTCAGCTGTTTCTCTTTTGAGAGAGGGTTTTGCTTCCTAGTCCAGGCTAGCCTTGAGCTCAGCATACTCCCACCAGCCTCCAAGTGCTGGGAGGATACCCCACTCCTGCTAGAGAATGCGTCCGAAACCAAGTCCAGCTGGGCACCCGGGGCTCACTCAGATGGCTGTGATCTCGGATGTGAAGCCAGCCTGGACAGGAAAATCCCTGAGGCTCTTATCTCCAATGAATCATCGAAAAGCTGGAAGTGGAGGACACTATTGTAGAGCAGAAAAAGTTAAGGGGCAGCTGGCACCAGTGCTCATGCCTGTAATCCCTAGCTGCTCAGGAGGCTGAGATCTGAGGACTGCGATTCAAAGCCAGCCCTGGCAGGAAAGCCCGTGAGAGTCTTATCTCCAATAAACCAGTAGAAAACCGGAAGTGGCACGTGGCTCAAGCGGTAGAGCGCTCACCTTGAGCTGAAGAGCTGAGGGACAGCACCCAGGCCCAGAGTTCAAGCCCCAGGACCGACAACAAAAAAGAAAAAAGCTAAGGGACAAGACCATGTGTTCAAACTCCAGGACCAGAGTGCGCCGATCTCCAGCCGTCCTCTCGCCCTTTGCACTTTATATTATGAGATGTTGAGATAATTAGAGAAGTGTCTAAGGGCACCACTGGCTGCCCAAGGGGCCAGGCGGCGTGCGGGAGAACGAACGGCCCACTGGCTGCCCAAGGGGCCAGGCGGCGTGCGGGAGAACGAACGGCCCACTGGCTGCCCAAGGGGCCAGGCGGCGTGCGGGAGAACGGCCCACTGGCTGCCCAAGGGGCCAGGCGGCGTGCGGGAGAACGAACGGCCCACTGGCTGCCCAAGGGGCCAGGCGGCGTGCGGGAGAACGAACGGCCCACTGGCTGCCCAAGGGGCCAGGCGGCGTGCGGGAGAACGAACGGCCCACTGGCTGCCCAAGGGGCCAGGCGGCGTGCGGGAGAACGAACGGCCCACTGGCTGCCCAAGGGGCCAGGCGGCGTGCGGGAGAACGAACGGCCCACTGGCTGCCCAAGGGGCCAGGCGGCGTGCGGGAGAACGGCCCACTGGCTGCCCAAGGGGCCAGGCGGCGTGCGGGAGAACGGACGGCCCACTGGCTGCCCAAGGGGCCAGGCGGCGTGCGGGAGAACGGACGGCCCACTGGCTGCCCAAGGGGCCAGGCGGCGTGCGGGAGAACGGACGGCCCACTGGCTGCCCAAGGGGCCAGGCGGCGTGCGGGAGAACGAACGGCCCACTGGCTGCCCAAGGGGCCAGGCGGCGTGCGGGAGAACGAACGGCCCGCTGGCTGCCAAAGGGGCCAGGCGGCGTGCGGGAGAACGGACGGCCCGCTGGCTGCCCAAGGGGCCAGGCGGCGTGCGGGAGAACGGACGGCCCGCTGGCTGCCCAAGGGGCCAGGCGGCGTGCGGGAGAACGAACGGCCCACTGGCTGCCCAAGGGGCCAGGCGGCGTGCGGGAGAACGGCCCACTGGCTGCCCAAGAGGCCAGGCGGCGTGCGGGAGAACGAACGGCCCACTGGCTGCCCAAGAGGCCAGGCGGCGTGCGGGAGAACGAACGGCCCACTGGCTGCCCAAGAGGCCAGGCGGCGTGCGGGAGAACGAACGGCCCGCTGGCAGCCCAAGGGGCCAGGCGGCGTGCGGGAGAACGAACGGCCCGCTGGCTGCCCAAGGGGCCAGGCGGCGTGCGGGAGAACGAACGGCCCACTGGCTGCCCAAGGGGCCAGGCGGCGTGCGGGAGAACGGACGGCCCACTGGCTGCCCAAGGGGCCAGGCGGCGTGCGGGAGAACGGACGGCCCACTGGCTGCCCAAGGGGCCAGGCGGCGTGCGGGAGAACGGCCCACTGGCTGCCCAAGAGGCCAGGCGGCGTGCGGGAGAACGAACGGCCCACTGGCTGCCCAAGAGGCCAGGCGGTGTGCGGGAGAACGAACGGCACACACTGGCTGCCCAAGGGGCCAGGCGGCGTGCGGGAGAACAAACGGCCCACTGGCTGCCCAAGAGGCCAGGCGGCGTGCGGGAGAACGAACGGCCCACTGGCTGCCCAAGGGGCCAGGCGGCGTGCGGGAGAACGGACGGCCCACTGGCTGCCCAAGGGGCCAGGCGGCGTGCGGGAGAACGGACGGCCCACTGGCTGCCCAAGGGGCCAGGCGGCGTGCGGGAGAACGAACGGCCCACTGGCTGCCCAAGGGGCCAGGCGGCGTGCGGGAGAACGGCCCACTGGCTGCCCAAGAGGCCAGGCGGCGTGCGGGAGAACGAACGGCCCACTGGCTGCCCAAGGGGCCAGGCGGCGTGCGGGAGAACGAACGGCCCACTGGCTGCCCAAGGGGCCAGGCGGCGTGCGGGAGAACGAACGGCCCAATGGCTGCCCAAGGGGCCAGGCGGCGTGCGGGAGAACGAACGGCCCACTGGCTGCCCAAGAGGCCAGGCGGTGTGCGGGAGAACGAACGGCACACACTGGCTGCCCAAGGGGCCAGGCGGCGTGCGGGAGAACGAACGGCCCACTGGCTGCCCAAGGGGCCAGGCGGCGTGCGGGAGAACGGCCCACTGGCTGCCCAAGGGGCCAGGCGGTGTGCGGGAGAACGAACGGCCCACTGGCTGCCCAAGGGGCCAGGCGGCGTGTGGGAGAACGAACGGCCCACTGGCTGCCCAAGAGGCCAGGCGGTGTGCGGGAGAACGGCCCACTGGCTGCCCAAGAGGCCAGGCGGTGTGCGGGAGAACGAACGGCCCACTGGCTGCCCAAGGGGCCAGGCGGCGTGCGGGAGAACGAACGGCCCACTGGCTGCCCAAGAGGCCAGGCGGTGTGCGGGAGAACGGCCCACTGGCTGCCAAAGGGGCCAGGCGGCGTGCGGGAGAACGGCCCACTGGCTGCCAAAGGGGCCAGGCGGCGTGCGGGAGAACGGCCCACTGGCTGCCCAAGGGGCCAGGCGGCGTGCGGGAGAACGGCCCACTGGCTGCCCAAGGGGCCAGGCGGCGTGCGGGAGAACGAACGGCCCACTGGCTGCCCAAGAGGCCAGGCGGCGTGCGGGAGAACGGCCCAC